AAATTGCGGTCAGGAAAGAGAAAAGAAAGTTTGACAAAAATGGACAAAATTTTAACAAATGTTTTGAATAACTTTTCAAAATTCGAAGACAGGAATTATCGATTAATTTTGAGGAATTTTTTTCTGACAAATTGTGTATTAATTAAAATCGAATTAATGTACATTAGAAAATTTTACACTCAATTTGAGAAATGATAAAATAAGGAGATTCAGAATGAAGCGAAGAATGCGACGCAAGAATTCTCTCGTTATATCGCCATCTTCAGAATCACAAATTTTTTCAAAAAATTCTTACGTCGTATAAAAATAGTAGAAGAAAAGAGGGGTTGGAAAAGAGGGTACAGCTGGATACACAGAAAGAACACAAAAAACGGACAGGTTTATTTATCTTTCCATTCATTGCTTTTTTTTTTGCTTTCTCTTGACAAATCGGCTATATTTTATATACGTAAATTAGTTCTTTACCCGCTCGCTAGCAAATCGTATCTCATCGTGCATATTTTTTTCCTCATTTATATTCATCTCTAGTTTCTCTTTAATTCCTTCGACACTCGATTAACACTTTCCTTATCTCAGTTACAGACGAGAAAAGCGTGGTACAATAAAAAAAATATAAAAGGAAAGAAGAACGAAACGGGGGGGTTAGAAACTCGGTATACATCGAAGGGGCTTAAAGAAATTAAAGTCGCGTTACAATTTATCATGGACAATGATAGAAAAAAAATAATGGAAAACACCGAACTGCATACAAGTCGCAAATCACGATGAAACTCACCCCCGACGTTCCGTCGACGTTTCCACCCTTTGCATCCCTACAGTCTCAAAATTATTTTTAAACGGTTTTGTAAGAAAAATAGTTCGAGGCCGCTGAACGAAGGAAAGGGGTTGCAAAGGGTGTCGAGTGAAACATTCCTCTACGAAGACGCGTTAATCGTTTTCTGATAAGGGCGTTTTTGGGGCGTTTCGTAAAACCAAGGGTGTTTTACTTTTTTATTCACTCATTTGTTAATTTTAATTTGGTTTATTAATTTTTTAGAAAATTTGGAAGTTTCTAATTCTCAATTTTTTTTCAATTTTCAACCCCTTAAGGTAGCAAATTTTTACTGCAATTTTAACTACATTGATTACATTTTTTGACGTTACTATAATATACGAATTTAAGGGGTTTGTCCATATTTGCAAAGGGGGTTGTTATTTATAATACTATTTTTAACAATAGAAATATACTGAAGGTAGACGAAAATTTTACTGAAAACTATATGTTGCATCTGAGGTCAATCAAAATTGCACACCCCTAGTTCTACTAGGATCTAGTTACTCACCCCGATTACTACTCAAGTGAGTATACAGGGTGTTTCAAAACTAGTATAGGTCCCTAAATTAAGGGGGAGTTGATTTTGAATAAAATTTCTCTTTGCAAAAATTGGTTTTGAAGCTCCGTTGTCGAATTATTAAGGAAAAACACCGGACCAATGAAAGCGCAGGTTGCGCGCGCAGCCGCCACGTC